AGACTTTACTTCGACGCCACGTGGTGCTACATTCAGCGTTAATCTCTTAATTTAATCTAAATGAAACTGTTTTCCTTTCGCCATTACTTAGAAACACAACTGCAGTTTTAAAAACAGCCAACTTCCTAATGTGTTGTGGCCAAAAACGCCAGCTATTCCTTCAGCAGATCTAGGGTAACAGATTATTGTAATTTCCAAAGCTTAACCAAACTCAACGATGACAGCTCCCATTCGATATACACACATGAATCCTAAAGCTTAGGAGTGCGCATAAATGGTTGGTTTTGGCAGCTTCCTGCCTCCATGCCTTTATGACCCCTACAACTCAAGTAACTCTTGGCATATCCATATACAAATTTGAGCCTCTATTGGATCTTCTGAAAATAGTACTTAAAATATCTAATTTACCTGAAACGCCATCAGTATATCACTGACAAGTTCTACTGAAATATATCATCGCCACTTCTCCTTTAACTAACCTTCCTGACCTTGATTATAGTCATCCGGTAGTATATGCAAAAGCAGCTCGATCCTTTGCGTTGACCGTTCGGGTGATTGTGTTTCGCTACCAACTCTACAAGCAGCCGCCTGCACACAGTTACGTAGGAGCTCCACTGCCATGGCTTGCGTGTGGTCTTCACTTCTGCAGCTGAACAGCTCGCTGATAGGACGATCAATAAGTTGCCCAATGGAAGGAGTGTGTCTACCAGGTAGCCGAAGCTCATCAATGTGAGCGGACATCCATTTTCCACCTTGGAAAGCGACAAAGTTACGACATCCACCGACAATTCTTGGCAGCTGTGCAATCAAGACAATGTGGACAGCTTCCACCGAAGGCAAATTGAGTATTTCAGGTGCATTTGTTCGTTCCTCTAATAGAATGTGTCTTGCGCCCGCAATCAAGTTGAAATTCTCATCACCCGAATCACACTGGACCACAAGAATGCCACGACAATTTCCGCCCAGACGCTTAAAAAAATCCCTGTGGGTCAAAGATTTAGTAAGAAATTACTGATTTGTGAATTTCGGGGCTAAAGGCGCTTTAGTTTTCTGAAGTGTTGGCGAGTGATCAATTAACATCTCACTTGAGGCTGATTCAATTTCATTCCATAAAAACGATTTCGGCTCAAGTAAATCTCAGATTGGGCTGCTTTCGAACAAGACGTTCTAATGGAAAAAATGGGGATTTGGCCGAATATACTCAATAAAAAATGTAACACTCATCAACAATATGACACTGGCCGTATTAAACATTTATAGAAATATTGAATCATTTATAACATGGGCATTTTCCAAAATATGGGGTGCCTTTTGTTTTGAAATAACCATATTTCAAGCGCAGAGATAATTAGATATTTAAACCCTTTTTTTTAAAGTAGACTGATCTGAAGACGCCTCTTACAATAACACAAGATAAAAAATCTTTCTAAAACTATTTCTCTGAAAATACCCACAGAGTTTTAACTTTCCAAAACAAACTAATACACAATCATAAGTTCAGTTCTACTATTCACTTGTCTCAACATCATCGTAGTCATCATTGTGACATTGAGAATTAAAGCTTTTTCTGTACGTTTATGCCTTTTGACGCGAGATATGACAGATCTGCAAACTTTCCTTCCTGAACATAGAGAAAATGTCCCACAACAACATGCACTCTCGGCGATGGAAAGTTACACTCTTATTGAGTGTCTCAGGTTTCTCTAATTAGTTGAATTACAGAAGTGCGTAGGATATACTTAAGATACAGCATCTTCATTACCCTAAATTTGTGTGCCTGGTTATTATTATTTTCGTTTTTGTTTAATTCTCGTCTTGCAGGGTTAGCAGTATGATTTTGTAATAATTTGGATATATCAACAAAGTTGAAATGGTAAATTGGCCACCGTAATGATTACAAAAGCTGACGTTTCGAGCGTTAGCCCTTCTTCGGAGCGAATAGAGGAATTGTGGGTTGTGTGTCCTTTTAAAGGCAGAAAATGGAGCTACGTTATTGGTGGGTGCATGGCAACGAGAAAAACATGAATAAATTAGTGGAATGAAAAGCGTTCATTGATCCCTGTGGGATTTAGACTGCCGGTTTGAAAGATGAGCTTTTGTTCAAGATTTTTACGGCTTTCCGTGCCACCTAAGTGCAAGGAAAGACCGCAGATTGCCATATGTTGCTTAGAATGATTAGGTAAATTAAAATGTCTAGCGACTGGTTTCGATGTGTCCTTGTCATTCCTTTCCACGTCTCGAAGGTGTTCTCGGAATCGGTCACCTAGTCTTCTGCCTGTTTCGCCGATGTATATCTTTTTGCAATAAGTGCAAGTTATGCAATAGATTACATTGGCGGAGGTGCACGTGAAGTGATCGGTGATCTTAATGGATCGTTTAGGTCCCGATATTTTATCAGTGTTGTGAATGAAAGGACACGTTTTGCATCGTGCACGAGCGCATTTAAAAGTGCCTGGTTGCTCATTAGTCTGAAAAGAACTTCTGACCAAAAAATTGCCTA